CTTGCTCGAGATTATGTCGACTATCTGCCACCTCCTGATGCTTGCAAGCACTCACTATTCCGCCGCATCCGAACATCTGTGCACCTGCACGAGGTGCGATGGCTCCTAAGACCATGGAACGTTTGGTGGGATCTCAAGCCTGGCTCAAGGAAGACCTTGTACCGGATGGACCTTTCCAAGCAGCCGTCAAGGCGATTGAAGCCTACATGGCATCAATGGTAAAGAAGAACGGATAGTCACTTCTTTTTTCTCTTTTACTGTTTTACACCCGGTAAATGATTCAATTTATCTTCTCTCGATCCTTCTTATTATAAATGGTCACTTTTTTTTCTTTTCTCTTTTCAACGGTCAATGAGGAATACTTGCGGTCTCTATTCTGCTACTATACATGCTCACTTGTATTTATTCTGCTCACTATACATGATGACTTGGTTTTGTTTTCTTTTCTCTTTTAAATCAATCAAACACATGTTCTTAAAGCTTGTGGATAAGCCCTTGCGCCGCTATATGTCGCGATATTGCGCACCATTTCGCTATATAGCGGCGCAATCAAAAGGTTCGCTATATAGCGCACAATATAGTGGAGCGTTGCGCTGTGAGCGCTCCACAACGGGGTGAGAATTTTTTTTTCTGGTTATAGCGGAGCTTTGCGTTGCGAGTTATAGCGCACCCTGCGCTGCGCAATGCCAAGGGGGGCAAATTTCATTGCGTTGCGTAGTGATTGCGGTATTGATGTATGTATATCTCATTTTTTCTCTTGTCTGTAGATTTTGACAAGCGTGGGTTGGGTATTGCAGGCAATAATACCAGAAGATAAACAACTGAAGTAAAGCCACTGTGTTTGTTAAGAGATGATTTTTTCTTTAGGACAAAACTTGAAGTTTCACATCACCAAAGTGGAACTAGATAGGGACTTTTGGAAGAGATGACATGCACTCAGTTGTATGAGAGCTTCTGGAAGATGTCTTTCATTTATTTGGTTTTTGTGGTATATTAAAGGTCATAGTAAAAATTTCAATGAAGGATTATTTTCTGCAATACAATGTAAAAAAATGATAGGGGAAAACTCTTTACCAACATAAGATCATATGTAGCTGTAAAGAAGTATATGAAAATTAACCAATAAATTATTTGTAGGCACATAAGCTTTTTGTAATCCTTAGTACTAGACTAACTAAAGTTTGATGAGGTATAATTAATTTAAAGATCTAATTTTGAAAAGGTAAGGGATAAATGAGAAAAAAAAGTTGAAAGAATTAGGTTAGGAGAGAGTTACACAAAATGTAGATAAACAAGGTGCATGAGAATGAAATGAAATTGTATAAAGTTATAACATGTTTGCAAGATTAGATAAAGTGAAAATATAAAGGATGAATTAAGGGTAGGTATAATGACTGTAATTGAATAGAAGCTGATTAAACAAGCAAAAGGTAAATTAGTGTTAGGAAAAAATAAATTAAGCGTTGCTCATCGAGTGTTCTGATCTATTTCAAAGCGAAAGTTGATCAGTTGTATACTTTCAAATGTGTGAAGATAAAGACGACTTACCCAGATCAGTACCACTCAACACTATGATCAGGTATATTCGACTTTTTGAATCAATTAACCAAAACCATTAAATCCGAGGTCCAATAAAAAAGAGTTGTTAAAAGTCCCATGATCTGAAAGGATACAATTCTTGAGGAGGTGAAGGAAAGAGCTCCATAGAACTATCTCCTTTGTCTTCATCTTCTTCTTCAATCTTGGGTGTTTCTTCCATTCCTTGATGGTTATGATGATGTTGGTGACCCAAGAAGCTGAACACAGATGAACTGGCTGACGAGATAGGCGATAAAATTAAACGATTATACCATCCTTGTGCCGGTGCACTTGTTGGACCTTGTGCTAGTGTTGGTGAACAGAGGCTTACATCGATAGTTAATTTGGGGGTTTCTATCCTACGACTGACTGCCCTTCTTTCTTGTAATACTCGGCCTGTAACGTTTACATCTCCTTGTTTGTTCAAATATTCTCCCATACCACCAATGTAAGTAGAGCGTGGTTTTGATTTAGAATCGCCTGCGAGCACTGAGCCGATTGTTTTAGCACGTTGACGGCCGTTCCGGGTCATTGACGTGGCGTCAGGACTCGAAGGACGTGAGTTGGAGTGTGTATAAGGAGAAGTTGTACTAGGGACTGAGCGTAAAGACATTTGTCGACATAAAGGCTCGTTCGGTTTAGTATTGGTAAGAGTCCGATGACGGTGTCGAAGTAGCACACCTGGGTTTTGAACATCCACGCGACGACGCGAAGATGGTGCGGTAGTCAGATTGGACGCTAGAGAAGCTGAAGAGCCATACGCTCTTTGTCGTGAGTTGAATGGACGCGAATTGAGGGAACCGAATAGTGCCGAGTTTTTTTCGAAAACTTCATTCTCTATGATGGGATATCGAGAGCGAAGATGTGATAGCTCGTCAGTTTTTCGAGGTTGGCTGGGGCTTTGTCCTATATCTGACTTGCTACGTTTTCGGCTGAGATTAGTACGATGAGTCGGGTCAGTTTGAGTGCGAACACGTTTCAAAAGTGGAGAAGGATGTGCAAGTGTTGAATTGGAGATCGCTGGAGGTCTAGAGACTGGAGCTGGGACATTTCGATTATTCTGAGTAGAAGTAACGGGAGGAGAATGACGTGCTGAGCTATCAGCGAACGGTTTGAAGGTAGTAGAAACGAATTGGACCGCCGTTGAAAAGGAGTTTTTAGCTGGAGAAGGTAGTGGAGGGAAAGCGACCCATTGAGATTGCTCGTCAATCTTCAGGGAAGGTGAAGGCGCTGATTGAGATTTGTTTTGAGATGAGGACCCGATCTGAAGATGTTTTTGAAATGCTTTCATCGTATGAGAAACAAGTTCAGGTGAGTAATTAGAAAAAATGTGATATGAGTAAGATGATAAGAGGTTTGGGCAAGTTGCGTTCAGAGGTAAAATGGATTTGAAAGGGATAAGATAAGGCGAGATTGTAATTAACAAAGGAACTAAAGAGAAGACAAAAAAACAATTCTCGTCAACACTCCGTTTGATTAAGAACTGGACTAAAGAAAAAGGAGAAGGCTTGATAAGGTAAAAGGCTCTGGTTCAGATTTTAAAGATTCCCAGCAAACAGTGTTATAAATCGCGGTTTTAGAAGAATTCTACGTGATCACGCTTTGACCGTGGAGATTGCGCCCCAAAGAGTGAAGTTTGAATTTGATAAAATGCCACTTGAGAAGCGGTGATCATTGACGAAGAAAAGATGAGATGGATTAAAATGTAAAATCGTGTTGATGTACGCTCGAACCAGCCAAGAATGAGGCTGTCCAGCCATGTCGAGGTGGGTTCAAGCGATTCAAAGTCAAATGCGAGGAAGCGGACGCAGTCAGAGGGAGACATCTTTTGACAACAGTGTGAGATATCATGACCGATCGAGCAGGTGACCGCAGAGACCGCAGAAGTTGACTTAGAGAGATGTTGAGATTGCCGTTCACTAGCAAGAAGCTTTTCACAGAGTGTCTTCACGATATCCTCAAGTGGAAGTTTGTTAAGATCACTTCCCCTTGTGTCAAAAGGAGTCCAAACTCTTCGGTCACTTCAATTGTGACGATCGAAGGAAATTCGAATCATCTCGGACCAATTGCGTGATCACTGACTGTGATCACTTGATGTCAGCTTGGCTCAGCCTCTTACACTGAAAACAGCCAAGGCGATGTCTATCTTCGTTATCTGATGTTACTAATACCATTTATTTATCGCAGCTTTCAACTGCCCGGGCGGGAGATGCGAACAAGATGCGAACAAGATACGAACAAAGTATGCCTTGATCTCTCGTTCGGATTTATAACCTCCATAATCCATGCTGATTACATAAATACATGTCCAGCAAAGTAATGGGATTGCAGTCTCCTATGTAATTTCCACTTCCGTACATAGACATGCAAATGTTCTTGCAAAACAGAAAGAAACAAAAATCAAAAGTTACGTACTTCCTCTTCCCAAAGATGGGGAAAGAGAACGTGTATATCTTTCATTTCGACCTTCAATTGATTTTTTCCATCTTTTCATTCTTCGCTACATAATTTATTGAAGTTGATCACTATGTTAACTTATGTTGTCCACTCCCGTGGGGTGTTAGGTTAGGAATGTTTTTGAAATTTACCCTAATTTACCGTCCCTTGGTTTGTGTAAATATGTACCAAGGGGCTTTTTCTGGTCTGTTCTGGTTCAAAACATCTCTTTTATTTTCACTAAATCGCTTTACTAAGTCGATTGAACACCAACAATTACCTATCGGCCAGCTTTCTAGCTTCTCAAACCATCAACTTGACATTCGATGAATGGTTTTGGATATATCGGATTTGAGCGCTTTGTTCACTTGGCCATGGTATCTTCCCTTGAAGTGCACGAGGTGCAACTTGAGATGTGAAAACCTGGACAGGCTTCATCAATACCTATCTTATAGCAGAGCCAACTGAGTCTGTACTCTGAGTTCAGAGATGTGAAGTTTGATCAACTTAAGGCCGTCCTGAGGATCGGAACCAGGTGGCTCAGCAATGTTTATTTCCCGTTCCTGAAGAATTGAACACCTTTTTTGCCCTGTTTCAACGTTCGATGATTGGATATATACCTATAGGCTCGTTTGCACATGCCAGAAATCACCTAGACCTCTCGTCAATTTTACTCGAATACCAACTCCAAAACATCCGAACGTTTTCCATTCATTTTCTATCCGAGTAATAAGTATTCATTTGCTGGCATTGGCTTGCTTTTCGAAAGAAGTTGCAGATATTCTTTCTTGGTCATCCCATCCCATCTCCTCGAACTCCAATACCTAGTCATCCTACCACAAAATATGTCAGGATTTCAGTCACATCCGAACGGTTCCGGCCGGTAAGCAGAGATTCATTGCATTAAAATTCATTTGTGTTATGAGCCTCTGTTCTTTTTAGAAGTGGACACAAACACGGAGGCTTCGACCTATGCCCGTCACACATATTCTGGTGTCATGATTTTTGGCGTTTGTGTGCAACAATCAAGATGCGCATTCAGCGTACTTCTGATCAGATCATTCATCCATCATCTTGATTTAACGCAGGCTCTTGATATTGTGACGAAAGTGGCATTGGAGACAAACTTGAGCGGCTGATCACTGTACCCGTATTTTTACAGCGCACACCTTCGAACTAATTCAAAGCCAATGACCGAAGTCGGGCAACCCTCGATATCATTCTTGCAGCATACCTACACCACACATGATGCCGAGGGGATTCATAGCAGACCCTCACCTTTTACGACAGTGGCTACTCCAAGTATCGAAATTGATCAGGTCCAGCTTCCGACAATCAATGAAAATGAACCTGAAGCTCATCCATCGCCTAAGCCGTCTGCACTTGGTTTGGTACCTATCTCACGTAAAGAACTCTCAGTCGAAAGAGAACCACCTAGCCTGGTATCGATTGTCTCCTCACTCCTTCGTCGAACGACTAGACTGCAAGAGATTCTATATCCTCTCTTATTCTTCGCTAGTCTCATTGCCTTTTTGGCTCCTCTGGCTGGAATAGGATATCAACCCCCAATGATGGCCGAGTACGAGAATATGCTGCAAGATAGTGCCAATTTTCCCGATGTGCGATCACCCCTTCAACGCCTCAACGAACCGTTCCCCCTTCATCTGACTCCGGTCTCGACTAAAGAGATTGGAACGCTCTTTGCTGATGCACTCATACCTAGAAAAAAATCACACCATGGTGCTGTACCTTCGCATACTTTCTCGCAGACAGCATCTGACTCGGAATATCAAGACTCTGGCCGCAAACCAATGATTGAACCTCATGACTCAGGAAAAGTGGATCTGGTTCAAGCTAGCGATGACCATTTCGAGGGACAAGAAGAGAGCTTGTTTTCGGAGGTATTGACTTTAACTGAAAGTGAAGATCTAGCTAGACGTTCGGTTCAACATATAGAAAACCCACCGATTGGGAAGGAAGAGAAAAGTCAGGAGCAAAAGGAAGAGCAAAAAGAAGAGGAAAGTGAGAAGCAAAAGGAAGAACAAAAGGAGGAGCAAAAGGAGGAGCAAAAGGAGGAGCAAAAGGAGGCGGTGAAACGGAAGGAAGAGGAAGAGGAAGAGGAGTATTTTTATGAGGAAGACCCAGAGATATCTGATGACACTGAATCACCGGTGAGTAAGATGACACATGGGACTAATTGATTCAGTGAAAGGTCGCACCAGAAACTCGGGTGATGTGAGAAGGACTGATGTCTTCACATTTCTTTCCGCTTTGATAGGAAGCAATCGAAGATCAATCAAGTATAGTACCGTCAAGTGAAACCCCTGGAAGTGAAGATAATGAGAGTCAAGAAAAAGAAGTAGAAAGATTAAACTTAGAACCAGTGGAAGTTCTAGTAAAACAGGAATCCAAAATCAAAGAGTTAGAATTCTTACTTCAATCTATCTCTCCACCTGATAGCGACATCTTTCCAGATCCATCTGTTGTAGAAGAAATCTCTGGTAGAAAAGGTTTACGTGCTCGTCATTTTAGATGATGGAGTTGATTTTCATGGTTTCACCTTACTAATTTTGATTTGTGAAGTTTGAAGTGATCGATTTATATAATCTATGTGGTGGAAGGAGGAAGAGTTCGTATGCAGCTTTTAGATTTGTTTCATCAGTGATGCAGTCGTTTTTTGTCGTCGCCAATCTGTTTTTGTCGCTTATTCCAATATCTCTCTGCAATAATTATTAATCCATAGTCACATAATTGACACGATCGATCCCTGTACTGATAATAGTACGTTGGCTATGGGCAGTTGCAGTGAGTTGAAAGGAAAATGCTTCAGAGGAAAGAACTTCTCAGCCTGAAGAATCACTTTCCAAACCCTCTCGGTAGACCAAGCCAATCCCCCACCAAAGATTATCAAACAAAACCTTGATTTTATGGGACTCTTAACCACTGAAGGTTATATACATAGCACTTGGAACTGGTAATAGTATTGATTCATTCAGGCTTTTCGGCGCTATCTAATCTATATCTATCTATTGCCTTGGCGGCCATACACTTTGTAGATTTTAGGTAAGGTATCATCTTTTATACAAGTCTCTTAATTACATTTTGAAAGCCTTCCATTCAATCTTGACTGAAGATCTTTAGATTTCTTTGGGATTCGACATCTATCCATGATCCCCAGACACTAAGACTGAGAGAACTGATTTGAACCAAAGATAGAGGCCAGCGCAATATCTCATTTCATAAAGTGACAAATCCATACCATTTTTGGAAATAGAGTCTCATTGCCTGTCATGGATTTAGAGCAAGTGGACAATCCAAAGGTTTTATATTTATGGAATGAGGCTCAGAGTGCGTATCTGGTGGCTCCTGGTATGAAAGAAGATATGAAATGATTAGACTTTCTTCCTCCAGGTGTAAAATTCAACAGAATAATTGTTAAAGATACGAACGTCGAGTAATACAGATCTTTGGCCTCCAAAGTTCTTTCCAAGGCGACATCGAGTGTTTAACGATATAAGCTAAGTATTGTTCCAAGGTTAATGTAAGTCAATAGGTAAGTGGATAAGATCTGGATTGAGCACTAACTAGAGAAATGGAGTAGAGTTTTCCCAGGCAAAGATTGGGAGCTAAATGAGCAGAATCACTGTTTATTATAACACAATACCCAGTCAAAATTTTCATCACAGCGTTCAAAATTGTCAGATTTTGAATTGAACTCACCTCCTACAGGCGAAAAGGACCAAGTCAAGGGCAGCAACTGCAAATGTTAGACCGTTTGTCTCGATGGCCAACATGATCAGATCATTCAATCTAACAATTTCGATCAATGACAAGATTATCAGCTCATTGAAAGATTTGGACTTGACTCTGAATACAAGGAGTTTTAAATGGTACAGATTAGATACTCACAAAGAGTTGGTTTGATGGATTTGCGTTTTTGAATTCGAAAGCCAGTAAATCAAGTTACCAGTCAAGAAGCAATCTGTCAAAGCTGCAGTCCCCAACCAAAACACTGAGATGATACTACGTAAATGAATGTGGAATTTGGAAAATTCTCTGATTTTGATTATTTGTGTGGTAGCATACTAAAATGATCGAAAAGGACGAAGAAAAGCAAGGATGGATGATGCAAGTAACGTGTGAGCAAGCCGTAAGAAATTGAAACAAATGATTTAACCTACAGTCGACCAGCTAAGTTGAACCAAGGCACCAAAGATTATGACAAGTGGAATGATCATCCTGCGGCGAGAGAGCACAAAAACACTGATCACACGAAGTGTGAGTCACCAATGTGCTTGAAGGTGTATGAACAGTCATGGGTTACTCACCGGTAAGCGTAAAACGTCTGAACCACCCTACAGTCATTCAGTAAATGTTGAAAAAAAAGTGGTCCAATGATACTTTCAGCATGGTTAAGCTCTTCTCCCGGTCCTGGAGTTTTTGCACTTACGCTGTTGTCAGGCCGCATAACATGGGTGAGAAGGCAAATGGCCAAGGAATTCCTGTTTTCCCGAGAATTGTGTCTTGAGGTGCTTGTATGAACCATCTCCAGCTTTTTGAGTTGATGCAAGGAGATAAAAAATGATTAGTTTAGGTTTTGAGCATGATGTGCAAAGCCATTGATCAGGAAACCGATTCTACATCATCTCACTAAGAATTCTAGTGAGATAGAATACTGACAGTGTCAATTGAGAAAATACAGTTTGCACAACATCAAGAACAATAAGTGTGCCCACAATCAGGCGGTATATAGTACGGTCCTTTGGAAACGTTGCGAAGTAGGTCTGATGATGTACGCGAAAAGGCCATTCATCAGTCGTTTGTCTATAGCACGCGGCTGGTTCGCCTTCTGAGGGGAACCTACGAAGGTTTGATTCAAAGTCAGACCAAGCAGCGCGGTCTAATGTGCCATGAAAGTCCGCACGATCAGCTCAAGTGTCCAATCATGTACGCGCTGAGGTTACAACGTAAAACAGAGAACTCACAGTGATAGCAGCACCGATCATCAAAGGTGCTGTCACGCTTCGTACCACGTCCGTCATGATTGTTCTGTTCAAGAGGTGGTTCGACTCGTTCGCTATGAGCACACCTCTTCCGTAGCCGATTTTATCTTGTTGAACCAGTGCTTCTCGGACCCCTGCGTACCTTCCGCAATGATCGTCCCAGTATGAATGTGTAAATTGGAAGCGTTTATCATCACTGGAACGACTTCATCATGCGGCTTCGCCACCGGCTTTGCGTGGGAAGGGGTGATTCCGCTTACTGCATTCATGTATCTTGGTGGGCCATGCAGAAGGAGTGGAGAGTGCACCACTCAGATCCATGTTTTCGTAAGATAAACAACGATTCTGTACATCTACAAGGATGGACCCCAACGCCTGGTGTAATTCTTGCGCTCGACATCTGACATTTTAGCTGCTCGCATGCAGTGTTTCTCAGGTTCATAACGCGATATGCGTAACTGATTTGACGTCTTCCCCTTTTCTTCACTGACAATAATCTATATCTTATTTGCTCTGACGGATCAGGGGAGATGTGGTTGTTTTACCAAGATGATTCAAGAAGTACAATCACATCAACGCGACATGCGCGTATTCAACCTTAAGCTCCGCTGAATGGGCTCTTCGAGGTAGCACTTGAATGATCACACTCGGAGATGACGAGTCAAGATGATGGCTTCAGGTCGTAGCTGCCTCCCGAGAGTCTCTCCTCTTCAACTCCGAGGAAAACCTTCAGCCAGGCAGTAGACACTCCAGTTTAGTACAAACGCAGGCAGGTCTATAAACTTTATGTAATTGTGAAATGGAAGGGGCGCAGTCAAAATACGGGGTGGCGGCGGAAGATTGGCAGTGAAGCGCAGATAAACATAAGATGTCATTTCGGCGAATCAAGAGGCGCGAGTCTGATTTGGGGGTTAGGTGGAACGAGATCCAAAGGAATTTCCACGGGAAGTGGACCAGAACAGCTCAATCATTCCTCGCCAAACTGTCCGACAAGTAAATCCAAGACAAGCTTTGGACCCTTTGAAGGGGATCTGAAAGGTTAGATTCAAATTGTTTGATGGACAAGCGTTCTCTATAGGTTGATGTTAATAGCATTTTCACCTCCCACTCCTGGACGACTATGAACATGTCAATCAAGCCTAATCTTAGGGGACCTACTAGGACCTCATTTTCATTCAGTCATGGTCCGAGATTTATATTTCTGGCCATCCCAATAACACGCAGTGAAGGATCAACAAGGCGACGAATTTATTTACCACTTTGTCCGTGTATCGCGTAACCGAACTAATGCATCACTTTTACCAATCAGTACCAATCAACAAGACAGCTAGGTATGTTTATCCATCCTCGTTCGAAGAGTTATGTATCTCGTACCATCTCAACATCTTTGTACAGTCCATTTCAAGAAGCTTGTCACAAATTCACTCCCAAATTGCTCGAGTCTTGCGGGCAATTTGGACAAGCTTTTTGAAAACGACGGTAAATGTGTCAGATTTGCCTTATCTCGCTCAACGTCTTTGAGAACCACAATCCTAAAGTAAGGTGTTGCATGCCAATATGCGGGTATAGATTGGTGAGGTCTAAGAGCTCCCAGACAAAACAATGTATTCTAGGATCTCTCCTGTTGTCAAAATCAAAAAACATGGTGAGAACCACATCTATGGAGGCAAATATGAAAAACAATGTTCAATTTCACAGCCTCTGATTTGGTGTTCCTTGAAGACAGTTAGTTTTACCGTCTTCTGCTTGTACAATGGCTGGTAGAACTCTTGCCAGACCTACTGGTTGCATAATTGGCTGACTGCTGGCCAAAATTTCAGCTTTTGGCCATAAAACAGCTGGCCACTGAACTTTTGGCCAGTGTTTGACCAGATCTTGCCACAACCACTTTTATGCTGGTATCTCAACAAAAAGTTAGCCCATGGTGTGTCCCATATATATATTATGTACAAATTTTGGTTCATAATTTCCATGGGCAGGAGAAACAGGGCAAGATCTTATGCCAGCCCATGCCTTCCTCCATTATCTTGAGCCATATGGCATCTGAGGGGAAATCAGAGTGAACATGAAAATTATAGCAGCAAGAATGATGGAGTGCAGCTCTTGAGAAGAATTTTCTTTATTGGCAGACCCCAATACAAGTTTGGGAGAGGTTGTGTTCAGCAGTATTTGCCAGAAATCACCGGGTACTCAGGGATCCCTGTAGTTCCCTGGGGAAATGGTTGCCGGTTGGGGGTCAGGGTACAGGTGCTGGGCTTGATCTCAAAGACAAAAAAAGCTTGCGGAATACCAAGGTTGGTCCTTGTTCTGACTTTTGAAAAAAAGTTGGTTGCCGGGGCAGCTCAATCCCCAGCGTTTGGGGGGTCAGGCACTGTGTCTGTGTAGGCTTTGCTAGTCGACGAGCGCACACCAACTCCCTTTGAGGCAGAAAGGGAAGTCGTGCGCGCTCGTCGACGAGCGAACACTACCCGGACACGGTGCAGGGCTCATCCTGAGCTTGGACCTCAGCCAAAACAAAAAGAAACTTGGGGAGGACACCACCACAGTCTCTGGCTATGTCTGACATTGTGATGGGTCAGAAACACAGGCTTAGAGCATCCACATCGGACTTTTCAAATGTTAAATTTGAAGGTGAAATTGTCAAATTTTGCCACAGCGTACTTTTCAAATTTTTGAACCTGACCTTCAAATTTGAAGGAAGGATCCAAAAATTTGAAAAGTCAAAATAACTTGTCAGTACTGCATGTGAAGAATTGTTGTAGATTCCTCTGCCACATCACCAACATATGTAAAAGCCTTCATATGGTCATGAAAACATTGATTGTCCCTGTAGACACTGTAAACATCATTCAACTTCCCCAAATTGTAAGAGGAAAATGATTAATAGTACAGTTTGTCATAAAAGAATCTGATACTGCACACCTGAGCCATCTCACCCACACTACATATGTGCAGCAAGCTAAGTCAATAGTTGGCTATCATGTACATACAGGTCTGCTCGGTTTTTTGCCCACCAGCAGAGACAAATCACATGTTATACCACGTGTAACTTTTTTGACTTTGAAAAAATTGTGCCCAAAATTCACTACATATAATTCTGTAGGTGCTCAGGCAATACTGTTGAAGCTATTTCTTAGTAACAGAAAGGGTGTTACATGCAGTTGAGTTGATGAGATTACACCAAAACATTGAGTCAGTGTATGTAGTCAATCTTTGGAATGCTTTTTTTGATCTCAAAAAAGTTACAGCATGTATTACATATGAATAACTTATCCTGATGAGCAGATAACTGAGCAGAACTGTATGTACATGATAACCACATATTCACGGAGCCTGCTACAAATATGTAGTGTGGGTGTTATGGCTCAGGTGTGGAGTGATAGATCATTTTATGACAAATCATCCTCCCAGTCACTTTTTCCTGCCCGCTTGGGGAAGTTGAATAATGTTTGCAGTGTAGATAAACATATTGTTAATGTGCAATAATGTGCAATAATGTGCAATTAGTTGCACTTGACAAAGACCATTGTTCAATCAGCCATACTGAGCAAACCAAGTGTGTACTGGGAGTGAGGATCTTGCTGTCTGGGTTGCTTCAAGAAAGGTTAAGATATGTCTGCAGAGAAAATCAAAGTCCCAAAATGAATAGTCTGCTGTGGGCAACAAGATTTGCAGGCCAAAATAACCATTGCAGCCAACTATCCAAAAGTCAGACTTTTCAAATTTATGAAAAGTCTGCTGTGGATGCTTGTACACCAAACTTAACAAAGTCCCTTGTTTTTTGAGCTGTACTGGCCAGCTCAAACTAAGGACTTACATGCAATGTCCCAAATTTGGTGTGAGATCTGTTGGGGGTTTCCCCCAAAATCTCTCATCCTCCCTGCACTCAAATAACACAAATCATCTCCTTTGGAGATGATAATAAAGGATATGTGCAGCTCCCCTGCGCATAATTTTCTGTACTCCAATTTTTGAGACTTCAAACGGTGCAAGAGATATCTCAGAAAAAAACTTTTGGGCCAAGTTCAGGGACGTACACAACTGGGGCATCAAAAGCCTGAAATTTTGGGGCAAAACCCAATTTTTGTTAACAAAACCACAAATCCGCTTCAGTTGATACAACAATTTTTTATTTGACCAAACCTTTTCTGCTGCACAGCTTTTGCAGTTCAAGGGGCCCTGTTTGACCCTGGGTTTGGCCCAAATTCATTTTTATGAGACTACTTTTGAGCCCTTTGAGATATTAAAAATCAGAAAACGGGAAATTGTGTGCAGCAAAGCAGTTTGTTTTGTTCATTAGAGCATCCCCAGTGGTCTCCCAATTCTGTGAGGTCTGGGAACATACCTCTAATCCTGGTATTTGGATGTAGGGGTCAAGAAAAGAGCCTTGCATAGTGGTCTACCTCTAGTCGGGGGTCAACCCTGAATTGAGTCATATGAGCATGCTTATACTCAATCACCCCATCCAACTTGTCCCATCTATTGTCAAAGTTTGAGTTTGATTCTCGAGTCAAACATATTCTGTATTGGTCACGTGGAAACATCTGCACGTGATGTCAAGACCCCACCTAGACCTCACAGATGTGGAGGGCCTCTGGAGACTCTTGATGTCTCACCCCCAATAATGCAAGGTCCGCTGGGGTGGTTTTTTGCAATTTGACCCCCTACATTGTTGAGAGCCCGCAGAATCGGGAGACCACTGGGGATGCTCTTATGAGCTCTAATTGAGATTATTGGTGATACTTTTGAGGAGTGAGGATCACAGTTCTTGGAGAAAACCCCCAAGAGATCTCACACCAAAGATGGCTGGTGTAGATGTTGCTGGTGTAGATGTGCGCAATGAGATAGTCCATTGTTTTTTTAACAAGAAGTGACAAATACACAGCCACAAGATGACTGATTCACCATATTTTTGAAGTTGTTTCAGCCATAAACAAAAATCATATGATCCCAACATAACTCACCACTTCAACAAATACGTCTGGTCAGCACTTGACAATTTTGGGGTTTCTATGTAAAATCACGCTCACCATGGACATGTCATTGTGATGGTACACTTGATACCTAGCAAAAAATTTGGCCATGCCTGATCCATGGTAGCCACTAGATGTTTAAACAGCATATCAATGGTTGCGACTTGCAAAAGTGATGGACACAAAATCAGGATCATTGTCCGGAGGTCTAGGGATCACAAAGAAAGTGAAACGATTAGAGATATTTAGGTCTTTATTGCAGCAACAGAACACAAAATAGAAAACAAACAACTAAAACAAGAAAAGTCAATAACATAGCATAGTATAATGAGATTGATGTAGACAAAG